AAACTTTTAATAATACGAAGTAAATAATATTTTTACGTAAAATTTTAGAAAGAGTGCAGCAGCGATTGGTGGCCAGATAATAAGGAACCCAGTTATGCCTGGTCCAGGCGTGAGGTAGACCTATTCCAGCTTTACAGTACCTGCAGTTCGGCAGTTCCAAAGATGTTAAAATTATATTGGGAACGTGAATTGTTTCTTTTTTCCTGAAATTAAGGACATAAACGTTTCTGCCTTTATTCGCTGTCTGTATGTTTGAAAACATCTTCATATTCTTTCAGGGGACTAAAGATTATAGTAGTCTTGACAGGCTCGTAGGTGAAATGGTAGCAATAATCAACGGATCGTGGGTTCGGTCCCCATCGGGTCCAACATTTTTATTCAATTTGTAATTTTTTTTGAAACATGTTGACTTCGTCTGGAAATATGGATTCCGTTCGGGTCACGAACCACCGTCCACAGATAAACAAGCCATTACGTTTAATCACGTTGCTCTTTCAGTCTGCGGATTTCAGAATAACCAAAGCCAAAATTGTTTACGTGCTAAAGGCTAGGGTATTTTACCTAACTCCATCATTAAAATATAGTTAAAACATACCTTTTACCAAACATTCAATTGCGTAAACAAAGCTTATCCGTTAAATCAAAACACAAGCATTACGAAGATCCTGACCTTCTCAGTACGATTGGCCAATAAACGAATAATTTGACGGAACAACAAGTACAATACACAATAAGCTTATCTCGGAATCTCCGAATATTATTCAAAGTACTCATAGCTTTTATTACGAAACTTTCACACATTGTTTAGTTGTACGAGAAAAATACATGACATGGTTCAGGTCAATATTGAATACTTTTACTTTTTCTCCCGTTAATCTATTAACGTCGCACAGCTGGGCACAGGTATCTTATGAGTGAGGGTTTAAACGTCGGAGCATAAACGGTTATTATAATAAGGGAAAAAGAAGGTAATAAGATAGTCTTAACAATTATTAAAAGACGAAGAAGCAGAATCTTGAAGGCGAGGAGGTAGTTTATTCATAATATTAAAGTTAAAATTGTTTTCCCAGATTAAACTATTGCATTTAATTTTAAGACTGCTAAAGTAAAGAACATTGAAATAAACAACCCAGTAAAAATCAAATCAAACACAAGTCTTTGGTAATGCGGAAACCTTTGCTCCAAAAGTGGTCAGATAAATAGTTGCTAAACAGTTGCAGAACAGCGACTGCATTCTTCTTACCGCGTCCACCTTGAAAGCCTCCCAACAACTATTGCATTGTCAAATTATTATAATAGTTTCTCTTTCCAGCCCACTACGATTGTTGTATTGTCGTGTAAGATATTTCAAAATTCGCTATGTTTATATTACACGAAAAATTTTAGAAACAGAGTTAAATATGATATGATATTAAACAATAAATTCGGTCATTCGGTGTTTAAACTTATAAAACATCTTGTTTGACCCACATTTAAATATCTGTTTGACGTCTAGGGAAACAAAAGAACGGTTACTTGTTAGTTTTATTGCTTTTCTATGTTTAGAGAAAGTTCATAAAAACTGTTTGTTGTATTATAAATATTTCTGACTGATGCCAAGATAGAATATGGATTTTTTTCGGAATCTTAAGCTTCGCATTTACTGCGCCAGCTTCTACAGACACTATCATTAAACAACAAATAACACTAGTTCAGTCTGTCTTATCATACCCATACTATTATTATTTTTAAGAGAGAGAAGGACACTAGGACAGATGAGCGAGATATAACATTTTGAGAAGATGCGACCAATATCGACCGATTTTTGGCTTTGGTTCGTCTGTAGTAGGTTCGTAACCCAGAGAGAATTTTAGATTTTCCTACCAACCATTTAATATCCAGATTTTCAGACGAAATCCATCATGTTTCAGAAAAAAATTAAAAACTGATTCGATTAGCTATACATTACTGTCATTAGACCAACGAGCCCATATCTAAATCATAAGGGAACCAATCGCCGAAAGAACGTAACGAGATAAGCCTTCCTTCGTCGTCAAAAATTCAAGCAATTACGTCACAATTGTACACTCGTCGTAATCAACAATGTCGCGAGGTCGGAGCCCCGGAAAGCCCCTCTGAATCCTCATTATACAAAAACTCTTCCGTTCTGGCTTAGAATAGCGTAAACAAACCTTACTGCACATCCCATATTAGCTTAAAACTATTAAGAGTTTAAAAGAAATTATTTATTAAAGTTTTAAAATGACTTGGTGTAGTTCCTTTTTATGCTAGAGGAGGACCAGTTAAGCTTGGGGTTTAACATCTTGACAACGTGACCTTTGTTTTGAATATTAGGTTTTAAAAGAAGAAAGTAAAATCGCAAATATAAGTATGAAGTATTAAAATATATATATATAATTGTACAATGTTTTAAAATACAAAAAAATTACAGCGTTTTTGGTTCTTCCATTAGAATGGTCTATAATACAACTTCTAAAGAGCAAACAAAACTCTAAATAGGAGCATTGCTGAATGAGTTAATTAAAGCGTTCAACAATTCACAGAGCAAATTAGAAATATACAATGCATAAAATACCCGTATTGTTTTACTCAGACGTGGTATGAAATTTTATATGATGCAAGTCTATAATAATATAACGCGAACGCTACATAATGAGTGCAGCACAATAAAAATAATGTATTGCAACAAAGGGGATGCTTCTATTTTTATATGCACAATGTTTAGCAGGAAAACATAGTGAGCGTTGCAAGAAAATGAGAACGTAGAAAGTTTGCTTGCTCTAATTAGATTGGTAATCTTAAAACAATATACATTAAAATAAGTCATAGTTGGCATATTTACACGTTCTAGCGATGGTTACGTGGCCCAGGGCTCATACATTACGCGATTTAAACCGTTAAGTGATTAATTAAAACAACACTTGAGGAAGATGGTATAATAGAATAATTACTTTTAATAGTCGTGTATTATTATAGAAGTGATCATAATTCATTTTTCCTGTCTATTCATAATTATAGAACTATATTGAGATTAAAAAAACGTAAAATACACATGACTTACTGTGCTAGTGCTCTAGAAAATTAGATTTGCCATAAAGGGATAGCAACACTTGAGTCGTTGGTTCGGATGCCAGTCGCAACTTTTTTTTAATTTAAAGCTTGAAAAAAATGATTACAGTATTAAAGGAAAAATCGATTTTATAGTCTATTTTTATTTTAAATAAATAATTTCGTTTGTCACGAGTCAGTAGAGAATAATACAGAATTTTCCACATTCGCAAAACAAAAGGTGAACATCCGAAGTGATTTGGTGAACTAGATCGCAATGTCGCGCGCATCAATTAAGGCCACTTTATGTAGACGAGTGAACATTTTTAACCGACTTCTGAACTGGTGCAGTCTATCCATCAAAAAAGTGACCTTGTACTGAAATATCGTTATATTTTTATAATTTGAAATATACTGTGCAGAATAGGTAAAACAGTCCAGTAATTCCCTTATTAACAACAAATTAAAATTAGTAACAAATGTTAAAGTTTATACGTAAATTTGTAATAATAATTTATTTATTTTTTACTCCCCTTACTTGGCTAACGTAAATTTACATGTCGTAGAAGTGGGAATACTCCTCACTACTAAATCTTGAAATAATAATTCTTTTGTACCAATTAAAAATTTATTATTGTAATTTTAATTGTAACAAGTTTTAACTTTTGTGTTGTGTAATAAAATGTTAATTGTGTTAAAAACTAGTAGTAAGTTAATTAATAATTAACGAGACTGCAAGAGAAGTTAAAATTTTTATCATTTTCAATTTTCAATATCTGGTTTTTCATAAAACTGTAGTTTCATTTCTTTACGTCATTAATAAATATGTTGTTTAATTTTATCTTAGTAGAACGAATGAATGTATATTTATAACTCCGCAACCTGTAACGCTTGTAAAGTTTAAAAACAAAACCTAATTGTTGTTTTCAGTCAATGAAGTTTTCCGGAAAACAATGTTTCATGTTTCTAAACACGACACAAGTTAAACGATTTAGTTCGGCTGTTTGGCGCGATGCGGGTTTTATAATGAACTAAATGATTTGTAATTTTGTTTTTACTACTAAATAAAGAGGGAGTATTTTTTCAAAATTAAGGCAAAGCGGACGAGTAGTATTCAAGTCCCGTCATCTTTAAAATCGTGCTATTTTCTTAATAGCATAATTCTATGACGTCATTATTCAGAATTCATTGTGATTAGTTTTTACAAATTCTACGTTTGTAGTTTGCTCAAGTAGTACACATTTAATTTAAACACTTGTGGTCTCCCCGTGACCTCGGCTGCTGCAAAGCATCCGTAACGTGAAAATATTTTGCGTTTTAAACCGTTAAAATGTTTTATTTTTACTAACTACTTGGCTCTCAGTCTTTTACAAATAAAAGCATTATATGCTACACCCATTTCAATATAGTAAACACTCGTAAAAATGTACAAACATACTATAATGTATACTTTATAAGTCGTAAAAGATATCTGGTATATAACTTGAACTTGAATCTTACTACTTGAATATAATTATCTTGACCGTGTTGCGAATAGCAAGTATTAAGGCGACACACTTTTCATACTGTTTGTTTATACAAAAACACATCGATTGAGCATAACTGCCACTTAACCGTTCTTTTGGTATGCCATGAAGGTGTAACAATGATATTATAATGATGACATCATTATTTCATTATTCACAGTTGCCCGTGAGGATTAATATGTGTTTACAAAGTATTAACGAACGTGTGATATGAATGCTATTAAATCAAGATATCGCTCACGTGGGGCATGGGGCAAATATATGTTTTTTTTTATGATAGAGGCTTTTTTGCTATATTTTCTGTTAATTAAATAATTAACAGGCGTATATTCAGTTCATGCACCGGCGACGGCCTAGATGCTGCATGATAGAGCAAGTTAAGATAATAAGTGTCAAAGAAAGATAACAAAAACATGGAATACATACGGCTGTTTCACTTGATATCTCTGACGCATCGTTGCGAACGAGGTCGTCACGAGATCTCACAAGGCGTCAACCACTGAACATAGGCGCGTCCGTGTCTCCTCAAATAAACATTTCGGGTGAGGGTGATAATTAGTTAAGGCGTGTGACGGTTCGTCGGTTGGGCGCACGACTGGAAGTCGCGTCGCCCGCGCACCTCGCGCACTATTTTATACCGTGTATCAAACACCAGCGCAGCGTGCAATCAATTTATGCAAATTACCGACGGGATGGGACTGGACACGCATAAATTGGCCGCGAAGTTCTGGAATGCTGGAGGCTGGGCTACGTTAGTTGTGAAGTTTAGCTGCGTGAGCGCCGCGGTTTAACCGATGGTAAACGTACGTTTAGTACCTCATAACGTAACTATCTCTTGAGGTTTATGAATGGATTAATAATATCCAACGCGACCCAACGTTTGTGATGCTTTCTCTACGTAGCCAACTGCTGCAGAAGAATTTGTTGGTTTTGGTTTTTGAAGTCGTGTTTAACTCATTTAAACAGTACATCAATGATACCTCTCGGCAACTAATAATTCGTATTTGACCGCATCGTAATATGTAAATTGTAAAAAGACTTTACTATTAGAGCAAGAAAACCTGTAAATATAAATACTGTCCATAGTTTACCTGAGTAGTACACGTTTAAATAAAACCCTTTAACGGTTTAAAACGCGATATATTGCTTAAACTTATTTGAAATCACGTCGAGCCGTAGTTTCAATAATTTTCAAGTTTAACTAATATAGATTGCGTTATAAGTCGTTAGTAATTAAAACCTGTAAATATGTTAATGAATTGTCAGTTGTAACAATTTCAATTAAATCTCACGACAAAACGTAACGAATTACGACACAATAACGAAATTCATCTAGCAGTGTGGGCTGTGGCGGCTTCAATCGTTTACATACATACACACATATACTATATATATGCTATATATTATAATCTTTTTAAAATCTGGTGTATATTTTTATAGATTAGAACCTGAAGAATGCCGTTTAATCAAAATATTTTGTCCGTAGAAAAGCAGTGTTGGTAAACAAACTTCTCTTAAATATGTTCGCAGGAAATCTCAGACTTTTCTTATCAAGCCAAGGTAATGAAATTCCTACCTACTGTTTGCCTAAGACAAGAGCACCGAGTGTTAAATTAAAGCGCTCGCATTGTTATGGCGGAAGCAAAAAATAACTAGACCAAGTTGTGAAGCAGGTAGTGAGATATCAATCGTAAGTGGGACACTATCACAATCCATCGGATTATAATTGGGCGACAGACGCGGTCTGTTGATTTCGTTAATAGCTTATTGCCTTGTTCGCCCGTTCCAAGTTCGTGAGTTACGTATGTAATACATAGAATTACGCTTTTTTAATGGGCGACAACGCATAATGTATAGATAATATATAAAGCTGTATAGTTTGTTTGTTTGTTTGAATCCGCTAATCTCAGGGAGTACTTGTGTTGGTTATAGAATTTATCGAGGAAGGCTATAGGCTAAACATCGCTATGTGAATGATAGGAACGAAGAAAGCGGAAAAAAAATTTTTTCATCTGGCAAGAACGACGGAACCTGGACGACATCGTGGGTAACAGCTAAAATGTATAAAGATAAAAGGGAGGTTTATAAAAACAAATTTGGATGTGCAAAATTACTACTCTACGCGGACGAAGTCGCTGACACAGCTAGTTATTTAGATAAAGCCGAACGAAGCTTGACTGTCCTCTGTCATTAAAAAAATGACAAGCTGACCGACTGACGATGGAGACGAAAATGTGACAAGTTCAATGACCTTTAAAAATGTGTTAGTAGAATTCCAAGAGGGGGAAGCAAACCACAGCTATACTGTAGAATTGGGTAATACCAATAAAGCTGACAACTTCTGAACTCCGACAAGTGCTAATCTGCTACGAGTTTTGGTCCCCGATATCTCAAGATCATCGCCTTATGTCGGAAGTGGAAAGCTACTATCTTTTATCTGCCGTGTTATATAAGTAATCTCGAATGCTGCTTATATCATATGCTTGTTATTTATTAAGATATAACTCATCTATATATAACCGACGGATCGTGGGTTCCACTCCCACCGGGTTTTGACCCGGATCCAATACGCTTCAAATCACATATTTTTTCAGAAACATGTTGGACTATGTCGGGAAGTCTAAATATTAAAAAGGTGGCGGTGACAAACTACCGGTAACATGAAAAATCTGTGAAGTGCCGAAGTTAAAAATCATTTTTAAATAAGTTTAACTAATATATCGCGTTTTAAACCGTTAAGGTGTTTTATTTTAACTATTATTTATTATTCCGACCAATCGGGGTAGCTTACGGGAACGCCTGAACTCACTACGAACTCGAATTGAGAAATATTTTGTTCGGTTCGGTTTGTTCCACCATATCTGGAAGCTTTATTTGTTAAGGAAACGGGACTCCTTAATAGACACGGGTCTTTAAAGAAAGTTTTCACTCGCGTCAAGGAAGTAATATTACGCGGCTAATAACATAATATTCTTGATGCGTTCAAGACATTTATAGAGAAAGTAAAGCCATAACATTTGTAACAGCCTGTTGTGGAAAGTGGTCATAAAAAATTACACGCGTTGTCCCGGGGTCATCGACCCGGCTACTGAAAGGGTGCATCGAAATATGAATCGATTTACTTTTCGACACCCTCTATGTACTTTACAATACCATAAGTAAACAGATAATAACATGAATTTATTATAGCAGAGGGAAATCCCCACGCCGTATAGTGCTTGCCTGCCAAACAAAGACATTAAAAATTCATTTGCTGTTTTGCGGTACAACGTTAAGTTTCTTTTTTAATAAATATAAATTTACTTGTTTATAAAACAGTCTTTGTTTTATACGATTATTCATAATAAAACAAGTGACCCACAATTTTACTGCAAAATGTTAAAGTTTGTCGTCTAGTTGTGTCCAAAACGGACAATTTCCACGTAAATATGATTTTTACGTATTTAAGGACGACTCGACGGTTCAGATGCGTTCCAACAGCGATGGTCGAGAGAGAATGTCTTGTTATAAGCCGATAAAAATGGTTTATTTATATTTGTAGTAGTCGTGTATATTCTCTTTTTAGTATATATTATTGTAGCGCTTGTAACGTCATAATTCGATACTACAAAAATATTGTAGAAACGAATACTCGTTGAATCCCTATGACATAAAATCTTATTCATACCCTCGTCAAAGTCATTTTCCGCTTGTCTGGATGTCGTCGTCCACATAGGAAATCCAGCTTTGTATCAAGTAGGATTTTACGATGTATTTACTGTAGGTAGGTATTGAAAAATATACTCCTGTGCTTTTACTTTTCTTGGCATTGATAGCAATTAAGTTGATAAGTATTTAAATGAGAAGGGTTAACCGGTTAGTTGTTGACAGCACGTACTTTAAAATAAAAAGAAGAATCGCTGGTTTGGCGCTATATCTAGTTTAACAAGTACCTGCTAGAATACTAATAAATCATGGAAATCAACAAAACATTCGAACTACAGAATTTCTTTTTAAGACCACGCACTTACTGTGGGAGTATAAATTGAATCAAGGTCTGATGTAATGACTTGGTCTTGGGACTTCATGTTAAATTGAATAAATGGTTTTTGTAGTACTTGTAGGAAAAACGAGTGCCTCAAAGCCCAGCCATCGACAATTGGTTATTTTTTTAATTTTTAATTTGGAAAATATTGTCGTCCTATCTTTTAATTCGAAAACAAATATAACAAAAAGAGGGGACTTTTTATTCGCTTCATTCAACCACATGCTCCGAAATTGAGTAAGTACACGAGATCTAAATTAACTCTTATCTGACGAAGATAAACTTCGAAATCTTCCATTTTACGATGCTCTTAACTCATCACGCAAGCAAGAGATTCCTGTGGTCTTCTCAAAAATACTATTATAAATGTAATTATTAACGAAACGTAAAGTACAGTAAAACGTCTATTCATTTCACGAATTTGTAAAATAGGTTAATTGTGTCTCTTTTTAATGGCTTTAATTTTTAAAAAAGCTATTTGAATAGAGCGCTTTGTTGATAATAGCGAACAGTCGCCACTCGGTAAACCGTGATTAAACGCCACTAAGTACTTGTCAGTTAATTAGTTTTGTCGCCAAAGCAAACAGGCCATGTAATGCAGCGGGGTCGCAGCGGTCTCGTGTGCCTGCGTCAATAATAAACGGCATCAATTTCATCCCATTTCCTGAGCGCTCCCGCCGGCTAGATTTAATAAAACACTTGGAGGTCGAATGGACCCGCATTGCCTCTGCAAACGATGGCCACCGGTAATTGATTTCGAGGAATGATTATCTGTGTACTTAGTCCTTGGGGATCGTTAGTTTATGGTTTTGACGAATTCCATTGCTTAATTGTAACCGTAATTAGTAAACATTGCGTCACAAATAAATGCTCGGCAAACTACTCTTTAAAATTATTGTGAGATTTTTAAGTTTATAAAAACTATTTGACTATTCGGATCTCGATCCCACGACCGACAGCCCACCGTGCTTTGTCTACCATAAATTGATGTATATGTTAATTTCATTTTTAGTTACTCTATTTACAAAAGTGCCAACATACAAGGCTGTTAACGCCGTCATGGCTAATTTGTGTATCTACAAAGATAATATTTTTATGGCGTAATAAAATATCACATAAAAGTGTCAGTATATAACTAAGTATTCTATCCTGTTTTTTAACCTCGTTGTTAGACTATAGACGAACTCGTATAAGCACACAATTAATAATTTAAACAAAATAAATTTATTTACTATTTTATATTCACGTCATGTCGTTCATACTATAATTTAATAAAGGTATTTAGTTTAATATTTAAATAGCTGAGATCGCTATATTAAAATTCTGTCTACTTGCTTTTTTTAGTATAAATTCAAAATAGGCATTCAATATGCTTGTAGGAATGCAAATAATTGTATGAAATTAATTTAACACTTACGGTAGATTTTTTCTTGCCATCGCGATGTTTTTTAAACTTTTAACACACAAAAACCTTTTTTAAGTTAAAAATACACAAAACCACAGAACCGTTCAAATAAGTAAAAGTTCGAAATGGGAAATTGGCGGCTATCGGTCACATGAGCATGTTTTCCCGCCACGGCCGTGTCACAACTCACAACTCGTAGATCTCGACTCGGTTCCGACGCGATACGCGCCCTACTTCAACTAATGAAACGAGTTCGAATCGAGTGGGATAAAGACCTCTATAGCCTATGATATCTGGATATTTAATATATGTAAAAATCTAAACATACACATAATTTAACCGGCTTTAATAATACTATATTTTAATTATAAACTGTAAATTTGAAAACTTAAAAATTCATAAGATACTAATTTCATTTACACCAGCGCCATCTTTTGGCACATAGTGGCAACTGCGTAATAAAATCAATTTGATATAGAATCCGTTTTTTGGTAATAGCTATAGACGATAGATGGCAGCACACATATATATTTTTTATTAAAGTTGATAATAATATATATTAATAATTTCAGGAGATTAGAAAAAGTAAAAGTAAAATAAATAAATATTTTTAACTTATGAGTCTTCTAAATTTAGTTACAAATAGCCTCTCAGTTAGAAGAAACGGTTTCCTAATGGCAAAAACCCACCACCAACAGCAAACTGGTGTGTATACAAATACTTCTAATCTAATCCAAAATACTTAAATACATATTGAAGTTTTGCAATGATTACGAAAGACTATTAACCAATACGATTAGTTTGAAATATGATCCGGGTACAATTATAAATAACATTCGCACATAACGATATTAGCAGTTAGCCTTTAATTTGAATCGATTCAGTGATTTAGGAACGATGCCGAGGACAGTGTCATATATCATATACACTTAGAGAAGTGTTTTAACTTAGCAGGAAGAATTAGGTACCTATAACGCACTAATCTCAGGAACTACTGGTTCGAATTGAAATGGCAATGAAGGAGAAAGGGGATATTTTTTTTTTTTTTTTTTTTTCCCCCCCCCCCCCCCCCCCAAAGGGTTTAATTTCCCCATTGAAATCAAAATGCACTTACTTCTTGACGTGATTGTGGTTGGCCTCGGGGTGTGAGATGGTGGCGGGGGGCGGAGGCAGGTCGTCCATCGGGACCTCTTCGTTGGGGGGCGAAGGCGGCGACTTGTCGAACTCGGCAATGGGCGCTAGCTCCGGCATCGGCGACACCGAGTTGCTGTCCATCGCAGATAGCTTTATTGGAGACACTTTGGCAACTTTTTGTATCCGTCTGACCTCCGCGTACCGGAGGATGTGGACTTAAAAGCCTTTACTTCAGTTACGCAACGCTTAACAATGTGCGACTAACTACGACATACAAATATCGATCGTTTTATCTCCGGTTAATATTATTTATTTCTCCGTGGAGGCACAAAACGTAGGCAATGCAAATTATATTTGCTATATATATTTATGTCACTACGTTCTTGCACGTTTTTACTCAGTACCCTCACGTAATATTTAAGTATATGACGCAAAAAATGCCTTGATAGATTCTTTATGACTAGTAAAAGATTTGATTATTTCATGATAAAGGATGAGAGGCAAGCACCACCTACCACTTACCACCTACCACCTACCACCTACCACCTACCACCTACCACCTACCACCTACCACCTACCACCTACCACCTACCACCTACCACCTATCACCTACCACCTCCCCCCCCACCTCCAACCTCCCCTCCACCTACCACCACACCTACCTAACACCTTACACCTACCACCCATTTAATATCCAGATTTCCAAAGCCCAAAATATTTTAGAATAACCATAAAGTGATTAGAACCTTGTTGGACCAGGATGTGTCGAACACACGACCCGTTCGTTATTAGCCATATATTGGAATACAAAAGGGAGGCAACTCTTCGATATTGGTTCTGCTAAATTAATTCATTATTGTCTAAAATTGTTTTCCAATAAGCTCATCTTGTATTGTAAGACTTATAATAAAACACCGTAATCAGCGAGATTTACTAGATCCTCAAATTAGGTTTTTCGATCGGTGTTCGGTGTTTAACACATATTAATGTATGCGCCTAATGGCCTCACCTACTCGTACACACGGAAGGACAATGTCCTGCGCCCTACCTATCATTATTAATCATTTGATGGACACGCCACGAAGGGGTATGACATGTTTGCTCCGCGATCGTGTTATTCTAGTACCCCGAATCGAATATTAGGTTTTGAAGTTACTAATTCAGATCAAATAGCATCACTATCTGTAACACAGCAGAAACAATCAGTTAACACAATCTATTATCTATTTTTAAGTGACTTTATAAGTATATAAGTAAGTTTGTACTTGTAGATATTGATAGCGTAAGCGCAGTAGATTTTGACTGTGACATTATGGATACCTTCCATCTTCAGTCCCTCCACATTGACCACAGCTGGTACAAAGCATCCGTAGCGTCTGGGCGTAGTTAAATTAAATTGTTATCTTCAATTTAATAATATATTTCGCGTTTTAAGCAAACGCAAACAACCGTTTAACAGTTTGCGTTTTAGGGCGTATGGGTCAAAGTAAAAACTGCTACGCTAGCGCCATCTGTTCCGTCATAGTTAGTATTTGGTAAAAATGGCTGCGTCTTCGCGTTTCTTTAGTTATTTTTTATATAAGTTAACTCATAATTTTCGTGTTTTAAACCCGTTAAAAGTGTTTATTTTAATGCGCACTACTCGCGTAAACAGACATTACGTAGCGTACACAGGATAGAAAAAGTGTTGAATAAATAAGGCTAAGTTAATTAAATCTGTTAAAATTCGTACCGGAATTCTTATAGCTAATACATCAGTGCATTACCGAGCTCCCGCTTCCCAGAGGAAACCGCAAACCCGAATTTCGTGCCATCAGAGCTCTCAGAGCGAAACAAATTACCTCTGTCTGGCGAAATAGACCGTACGTTATACTAATGACGTAATGAACTATCTCCGTGTGGAATCCCTAATTTCTATTCCACTTTGCGTAACTTTGCTGGGATTAGAAGCATTATAATAATGGGTTACCTATTGCTGAGTATAAAATTAATTGCCTAAGTTTAAATAAGTCTTTAATAGTCGAAACCGCGAAATTCATTATAGTTGATTTATTTACAATTTATTTTAACTATTCTGAATTACAATTAAAACTTATTTCACCCGTTCTAATGTTGCAAATAATTCGGATGCATTGCAGCATAAGAACATCAGAGTTAAAATAAATGGTAAATAAGTAAACGAGTATATTTCGCGCTTTAAACCGTTAAATCTGAAGTGATCGCGTTAACTATAGACAATACTTAAATGGTAGATATTATTATAGATGTTGATGAAGAGAAGGTGAATATATATACATTTTTTTTTCTATTTTGTGAGTGAACTGTAATTACAAGACGTATATTGCTTTTATAATTTCTTCATTGTTGCAAGAAAATTACTACGATTGATGTTAAAGGTTTGCTTCTAGCACATATTACACATAGTTATTATACACAAGATGACTTCGAAGTTACCCTAAATCCTCTTTCACCCGAGAGTTTAGACATACGATAGTAAAGTTTGGAACAAGTTACTTAACGAAAATCTAAGCGATGTCTTCCCAGCAACTTCTGTTTTGACCACGTTTTACCATTACTAAGTTTATATTTGGTAAATACTAAATAAAGGTTAAACTGTTACTGACAAGGTAGCAGAATTGTTTAGAGCGACAACACGGAACACTGTGGATGCCGGTTCACGTCCTGCCCTTGTCGTAAATATTTTTCAATATTAAAAATAACGTTTTTTTAAGATATATTATTATTTATTACAGTTTTATACAATTATACTTTATAAAAAAAAAACTGTCAAGTGCGTCAGAATGGTACCCTTGCAGTTAAGTACATTCTAAGAGAGAAAAGTGGATTTTCCTTTTGCCACTTCTTCTGCTAAAGTGACTCTATATTAGATACGGTAAGCAAAAACAATGAAACAGAAAGTTTGTCACGGTCACTTTGTCATATAAAGTTTATTTGTTAGACCCGTTACACATTGATCACATAATAGATTTTCTTTGTGTTTAATGAACATAAACGACGTATAATAACTATTATAAGGAAAAGTTACATTGTACAAAGAACCGCTTTGATTAGCTGATATTGCATCCACTTCTGTCTTGCATAAGCTACGGTAGAATCTTTTGTGAGATGGTAATCTTTTATTTTTATATAAGTATTAAAATAAAATAGTTGGTCACGAACGGGGGGTCTACATAAGTATTTCGTCTGTAAATCTAATGTATAGAGAAAGAGTGATTAGACATGAGTATTTCAAGTTGTCTGTCTGTATTTCTCTGTACAGTGTTTACGCGGTTTTTCATCTTGGTTGAGGCAACATATAACCTTGTTTTGTTTGATTAAAATCGGAAGTAAAGAGTATTTAAACGTAACGTATTATGATACTATAATTATAATAGCTCATACCATGGTAATAATGAACAATTACAACCATTAATCAGCCATCGGTAACGTAACCGATCGTACGTAATAAATCGAACGCAACGTCTACTGTTTTATGATTCGCATCTCATTCCCACGCTCGCACAATATTTTCCATCGTATCGACTAGTATTACAAAGCGAAAGTGTTTGTTTGTTTGAACGCGCTAATCTCAAGAACTACTGGTTGAAGTCGAAAAATTATTTTGTGTTGATTAGAACATTTATTGAGGTTAAATATTACGTTGTGACCAATAAAAACCAACAAACATGGGACCAAAAGGTAGTTAGCAAAAAATATCTATCAAGGAATCTATTTTTTAAGATTAACTTGCAAGAAGACATCGATGGTGACAGCTCTATTTTATATAGATGTCGGTTCGCAAAAACAAGAATTGATGAAAATAACTAATGCGGACGAAGTCGCTGACAAAGCTAGTACTCTACATAGGATATATTAATGAAGAAACACAATATATACTCAGTTTAGTTTAAATTAAGAATGAAAGAAATTAAAACATTTTAAACGGTACTATCGGCGGTTAAAAATAAATAATTGTAAAAAAAAAGCCACGGAAATTTTAAAATTGCTTCAAATTAATTAAAGTGATGCAAATTCTTTGAAATATTAAACAGCGAGCGGCAAAGGTAACCGAAAGTTCTGAAGTGGTCCGAATTATTTACCTCATGAAATATTTAGGGAAGTGGGCCACTCGAATTACCTGGAGGGATGTAAAAATCAGGCGGGTGTTTGCTTGAGCACGTAACTGCGAATAATGCCGACTGCACGTGCGAGGAAAGACCTCAGAATTTAAGTATTGAACATCTAATACAATATAACCATTTAACAAAACTGAATTTAGACAGGCTCGGTCGCATTGTACTCGCCAGGAAATGTATAATACAGATATATAGTGCCATCCTAATGCGATGATAAATGAAAATATTATCAAGTTTTCGAACATTTCCAGACTATAAAAAAAATAAATAAATGACTTATTTAAAATTGTAGTTAGGCTACTCTGCCTCTTGCGGTCTTATATTTACTCTGTAGCCAAAACGAGATGTTACGAATAAAATGAGAACACAACTCTGTGGACTCGACCCCGTATGAAGAACATTGTAATCACTGCTTTGTGCATTAATGTTGCAAAATGTATACATTGTTTTCGAGTGCATAAAGGAAAATAAGTAAATGTGCTAGATGTGCAATTGTGTAATTAAATGACATCTTGATTTTTCTAGTAACCGTAGACAGCTAAATCAGCAAATCTCGCAATGACGTTTATCTTGGGTTAATAGTTTTAAACGGTTTATAATTATGTATGTATATGTGCAAATATGCATAATGGAACTTATTAAAAAAATATTGTGACAGACAAGCATGGCGTTTACCGAGGAGGAATGGGAGGGGGATTGAACTGAGCACTGTAATATCTAAGTACGATGCGCTGTCGATCTATTTTCACTTTGTCCAATTTATCCCAAGACAGAAACAGATACGATTTGAGAATTTCCATGGATTTGAGAACTGGTAGTAAGTAGTTCTATGGTGTGTTCTATAAATAATAAAGCATAAATAAATATTGTCTGTAATTTACCCGAGTATGTAGTACCACTTTCAACTGTTCAGAACGTGAAATATATTAGTTAACTTATTAATAACTTATTTTTAACACTGCGTTTTGGATGCTTTGGGCAGCCGTGGTCACGTGGACACTGAAG